CTGAGCCTGTGGGTGCGGGCCTAGGGCTCCTGCAATTGCAAGTATGGAATTTCCCCTACAGACCACCAGGGCGAGCGAGAATACCTTTGTTCAACCTGAAATGACTCATTTAATCATCCAAAACGTTATGGAACACATTAATTAACTGAAAAATGTTGCATAGTGTGCCTTTTATAAAGGAGAATAAGAATAATCGTAGTGTAGGAGCCATAATGATAGGTGTGCATGTCTATGTATCAAGTGGGCGTAGTTGCTGTGTTGACACATGTGGTGACAGCTAATTGCTTAAACAGAGGTTGCAGAAACTTTTTACAACGATTATAACACTTTTATAAAGGAGCTTCTGATCAAAGGCTATGCTGAGAAGTTTCCAGGGAAGGAGTTAGATTGCGCTGATGGAAAGATTTGATATATTCCAAACCATGGAGTTTACCATCCCACAAAAAGAACATCACTGAATGCTCAACTGCTCCAAGGCCCTAATCTTACGAGCTCTCTGATTGGAGTTGTGACTCGCTTCAGAAAGGAAGCTGTTGTGAAAATAGCCGACATTGAGTCTGGATGAGCAATAGACCAAATGTACTAAATGTACTTAAAATAATCCCTGTGAGTCACAGAGCATGGAGAAGTTGGACCTGGAGTTGGATTATCTGCCAGTTGAAAGATCTATTGAAAGTGACTCATTTAGGTTCAAGGTTAAGCTTAAGGATAGACCACTTACCAGAAGAGAAATACTTTCAACCATTGCTTCCATTTATGATCCTCTTGGAATGCTGAGCCCAGGGACTTTGACAGCACAGGAAATCCTGAGAGACCTCTGCAGGATAGCATTAGGATGGGATGAGACTTAACACGAGTCAGTCTTGAAGAGCTGGTTGAAATTACTAAAACAGCTCCATTTGTTGGGCAAATTTGAGGTCAGTTGGTGTCTCAAACCCATCAATTTTGGAAAGACCCAGACAGCACAGCTACACCATTTCTGTGACGCCAGTGAGGATAGACACGGAGCAGTTACTTACTTGGTGTTGAAGAACAAGAATTCTGAAATGCATTGTACTTTTGTAATGGGAAAATCTTGAGTTGCTTCTCTTAAATCTGTAACCATCCCTAGGATGGGGCTAAGAGCTGCAACTATGGCAAGCGGTATGGATGTACTGTGGAGAAGGGAGCTCCAAAAGGAGTACATTAAAAAGTACATTAAAAATGAGACCTCACGCTATAAAGTATTTATGTCCAACATAGTCTCACAAATTCTCAAGGTATCTGATGCCAAACAATGGAGATATGTGGATGGTGCTAGTAACCCAGCACACATAGCCTCCAGGCTAGTGAAAGCTGATGCATTGATCGAACATCCTGCATGGTTGTCAGGACCTCAGTTCTTGCTGCAGCCTCTGAGTGAGTGGCCTGTCAGTCCACAAAATATCATTGTGCTGTCACCTGAAGATCCTGAGGTAAAGAGAATATCAGTGGTTAAACCCATACATACAGAAGAAGAGCCTCTGTCTTGCCTGATCCAGTATTTTTCCTCCTGGATACGTTTAAAGAGATCTGTTGCATGGATTCTGAAAATAAAGAACTGGCTTCTGTCCTGTGTAGCGAAGTGGAGACAGTTACATCTGTCCCTGGCAAAGTCTGACCTCATTGGAGAGCAAACAGAGTCCTGCATAAAAGAGGAGATGAAAAACTTCAGAAAATATACTGTGACCAAGCCACTCATGGTGGAAGCTTTGGACAAGGCTGAATTGGCCATAGTTAAATATTGTCAGCAAAAGCAATTTCCTGAGGAATTCGCCAGTTTGGAGAAAGGAAAACCCATTAAAGTATCTAGCAATCTTCGGAGGCTCTGTCCATGACTGCAAGAATGAGTCCCCAAGGGTTGGGACTGCCTTAGTGGGCTGGTGGGAGGAAGCACAGTAAGGCAGGTGGGGGGAAAACATACTGTCACTGGGTCAGGTTCAGTCGCACCGTCCCCTGCCCCCATCCGCTGGGGTTCCCGGACCAGCCTCGGACCTGAAGGCTTGGATCGGCTGAGTACCCGGTGTATTTAGACTACGTGCTGCACTGTAGTTGACCAAAATCTCGGACGATTTTGAAATTCCCCCCACCCTTTTTTTTTTTAGGTATGAAAACTCGGACATGTCCAGGAAAAAGAGGACGTCTGGTCACCCAACCATATCAACAATTTCAATGTTTCAGTGAGGGAGTGCTTTGTTGCTAAGATGCGTCTTTGCTCAGCGGCTTCGCTCATTGTAAACCAACCAATCAGCGCACAGTTCATCTAAATATATTCATACCATAAAAGGAAGAAAACCTGTCCTTTCATTCTAGGGCTTTTAACCAGGCTTGCATTAGGGAGTATAGAACAGCAAATATGCCATTTGCAGCCCAACCAATGTTACACACCCTATTCAGAGACCTTAAGGACCAACACAAAATACCCTATATAATCTTTCAATGACCCCTTAAAACCTTTCTTTTTTTTGCCAGATTTTTCATTTTGTTTACACAAGCGTAAAACAAAAAGAAATTCAGTTTAGAACAGTTCTCTGGAGAAATAAATTTTTTTTGTGCAGCCTTGAAAAATAGGAAAAAATATATAAAAGCAGTAATATAAACATATGACCGTAAATTTAAAGTTGTAACATTTTATATATAATATATATATATATATATATATATATATATATATATATATATATATATATATATATATATATATGTTGGGGGTGTGAGGGGTCATTTATAATGTTACAGGCCCAAGACATGCAGCGCTGGGATGAAATGTCTTTAATGGAGGGAAGAGGTGCCCCAATGATCCTCTCTGCTGTTCTCACCACTTTGCTCACCGTCTTCCAGACTGAGATGCTGCAGCCCCCACACCACATAGTGAGACAGCTGGTCAGAAAACTCTACGGTGCTTCTGTAGAAGGTGGTGAGGATGGGTGGGGCATGATTAGTTACAGCAGTTACAGCACTACAGCTGAGCTAGTTACTACAGCTAGTTACAGGTCTGCAGCTGAGCTGTTGGTGAGCAATAGAGGCTGGTTCTTCCTGATGTCAATGATGATCCCCTTCGTCTTCTCCACGTTCAGGATCAGGCTGTTATCTCTGCACCAGCCCACCAGCTGCTCCACCTCCTCTCAGTAGTCCAGGTCATTGTTGTCTCTGATGAGGCCCACCACTGTGGTGTCGTCTGCAAACTTCACAATGTGGTCGGTGGTGAACCTGGGGACGCAGACATCTGTCATCACGGTGAACAGCAGGGTGCTCAGGACACAGCCCTGAGGGGAGCCTGTACTTAGGGTGATGACATCGGAGTAGTTCTGTCTGACCCGTACTGACTGAGGTCTGTCTGTGAGAAAGTCTAGCACACAGGTGGCAAACTGGTTCCAGAAAGAGCCGTGTGGCTGCAGGTTTTCTTTCCAACCAAGCAATGGCACACCAGACTCCATTCATCTCATCAAGTCATCATGTTCAGATTGGACTCACTTGATGAGATGAATGGAGTCTGGTGTGCCATTGCTTGGTTGGAAAGAAAACCTGCAGCCACACGGCTCTTTCTGGAACCAGTTTGCCACCCCTGGTCTAGCAGTTGTTCCAGTTTGCTCATCAGATGCTGTGGGATGATGGTGTTGGAAGCTGAACTGAAGTCCAGTAAGAGCATCCGAATGTGGGTTTTCTTCTCTCCAGGTTTACCAGGCTCAGGTGGAGAGCAGAGATGGCAGTTACGTCGTAGGCGAACTAAAATGGGTCAAATGTTGGCGGCAGACTGGAGACCATGTGTTCTTTAACCAGCCTTTCGAAGCACTTCATCATGATTGGAGTCTGTGCGACAGGACGATAATTGTTGAGTGAGGTGAGCTGAGGCTTCTTTGGGACTGGAATGATAGTGGCAGACTTGAAGCATGCCTGCACTACAGTTCGGTCCAGCAAGGTGGTAAAAATGTCTGTGAGGACAGCACCCAACTGATCTGCACACTCCTTGTACACCCGCCCAGTAATGTTATCAGGCCCAGGGGCCCTCCTTGGGTTGACTCTCCTCAGAGTTTTCCTCACTTCAGCTACATCCGGGTTTAGTGACTACTCCCCCTGGTGTGGAACAGCTCTCAATGCTGGAGGCTGTTTAGTGCCTCAAACCTTCCAAATAAGTTGTTCAGTTTATTTAGGAAGTCAGTGTTTGCTCCATCTCCTGGGAGGAGGGTGTGTTGTAGTCTGTGATTACCCGAATGCCTTGTGTTGCTGGCATCGTTGAAAAGACCCTAGATCATCTGGCTGGGGTTCTGCTTTACTGACCTGATGGAACGGTTTAAGTTGGAACGTGCTGCTCTCAGTGCCTCTTAATAACCAGACTTGAAAGCTGAGTTCCATGCCTTTAGCAATTTCCAAACCTCTCCATTCATCCAGCGTCATTGGTTGGCCCGGGTGGTGATGTCCTCAATGCATTTGTTAACACTGTAATGCCAAATGTATCATATTTGATACATACGGTTTCTGAAATATTTTTCGTCTGACACCTTTTGCATAATTTATTGGTAAAAACTTTGTTCAAAATCCTATTGTACACAATCAGATATACCTGATAACTGAGGGCAGAAGACTACACAAAAAATTATCTTGACTTATCGCATAGTAATTAATGATTAATATAAAAAATTTATTTCTGTTTTTTCTTTTTACAAATTTAGTTAAAAGGCCAAATAAGGACTTAAAACCAAAAAAAAAGTAATTTTCTGTTTTGTTTTATTATTGGATCAGGCTTTAAAGGGTTAATGTAGGCTGACACAGTCATGGCATACTCATCAATATTTAAAAAGTTGTCATAGGTTTTTGCAGCCTTGAAGATGTTCCAGTCAGAGCATTCAAAACAATCTTGGAGTTTCTCCATGGCACCCTCAGACCACATTCTTACCTCTTTAACTGTGGGTTTAGCCCTGATCAGCTGGGGCTTATATGCAGGGATAAGAATGACCGAGAGATAATCTGATGACCTGAGGTGGTTGGAAGTAAAGCAGGTCTCAAGTGTTTTCACCCCGAGTTGCAAAGTCCACATAGCCACTTTTGTATTAGCACTAAGGGGCACGTAAAAAGGAGTAATGCTAACCATACTAAACTCTATGGGTAGATAGAACGGTCTCCATTTAACAGTCAGAAACTTGATGTCTGGAGAACAGAAGCTGGTGACCGATCTAGCATTGTTGCACCAGCTGTTGATGATGTAAAGACAAAGCCCGCCACCTCGAGTCTTACCGCAGAGCTCTTTGTTTCTATCAGCTCGGTATAGCGTTAGCCCCTGCAGGTTAATAGCATTGCCCAATATTGCTGATGACACAGCAGTTACATATCACCTTTTTTGAATAGAGTTTGAGTCGGATATTATCCATTTTGTTATCCAATGCGGAGGTTGGAGAGCAGAATCGGTGGAAGCGGCGGTGTATGAGGATTTCTGCTTACCCTTGCAGTTAGCCCCCCTCTGCAGCGTTGCTTTCTCCGTCTCGCGCATCTCTTCCTCAAGCCTTGCTTGGTAAGGGATCCAGCTGTTGTTATGTTTACATCTGTCAGCTTTTTAAACGGTCAAGAATGTCTGTATTTTAAACATTTTTTGACCGTAGCTCCAGCAAGCATTTGCAATCATAGATGCAACTTTGATGTCTGGTTTGTAGCATTTTAAGCTGCATATTCTGTGAAATTGTTATTTACATTGTCAAGAGCTATTCTTGGCCACTGCCATGAAGTGCCACCATGGTAACCTTTAGACACCCAAACACTTACCAAATAACCTGGGAAGAAGGACAAAGGACCTTTGATTGTCTTTACTTACAAGATTTACTTGCAAGGAGAGCTGGCAAGCTCAAATGTATATGTCAAATGTCTATTATTATAGGTTAATCATGTTAATTTTTTATGTTCCAGCTGCTTACACTGTAAGGCTTAGAGGTTTACTGATGTTGACACTGACTCTTCTGCTCTCTTTGTAGGTGAAAAGACAAATCCAAGGAGTTCACTGATGTTGAAGTAAGCTGGAGGAAAGGATCAAGTTAGCTGCAGCAGCAACAGAGGGCACAAGACATGTAATGAAAAAATACTAACGAAATTGCTGATAACATGAGCTACCTTGAAAAGCGACACATAAACCATCGGATGGGAAGCATGCTTCACCATCGTTTCCCCAACGGTTTCACTGACCTATTAATGGATGAGACAGATCGAGAGGTCAGCACCCTGACTGACAGGGCATTCCGTAGTCTCTGTGTTGGTGATGAAGCAGTGTACAATCATGATTTTTTGTGGGGATACTCGCCATACAGCTGCTTTAAGCCTTTGGCAGGGGAGCCCTTTAAAACAAATGTGCATAGAAAATCTAAAAAAGCAGGGCAACATCAATCTGATAAAATCAATCCTCAGCACTGGAAACAACACCAACAGGAAAACATATCCCACATGTCATCCTTTCTCAAAGTTCTGCATACTGCAGAGGAAAGAACTGGAGGTATGGTTGACTCAAATGATGAAGCATGGGATAAATCGACACTTCGAAGCATAGAACAAGAGCTTTCAGAATTTTCCTCTGATTATCACACCTGTCTATCAAATAGATACTACAATAACAATCAGCTTGATCAATCCAGTGATGGTTCTTCTAATGAAAAGGATGTCAAGATTTCATCTAGGAAACTGACAAAGATTAAAAATGTTAAATCTACGGAAAAGCTGAGAAAACTCAACATCAAAAACTTTTTCCTTCACAGTGAGTTTAGTCCTTTTGAATCATGGACAGATTTTAACCGGTACCCCTTTGGAAAAGACAATACAGTCACTGATATTCTCTCTGCTGACAATGTTTCTAAATGGTACAACATACCCTCTTACAAGGAGGTGACTGGATTACACACAACTCAGATTCTGAATAAAAATGAGTTACAGTCATGTCAGAAAGTAACTTTTGTTTGCTCTGCAGCCAAAGTTCCTAAACCCACTACAACTCCTCCTCCATCAAAGGCCCTGCCTAAACCTGCTGCACCTCTAACTGAGAAGAGGTGCCTTTCAGATGGAGGGGATAAAAATGCTGCCCCTTGGAGGCGCACTGGATGCAGAGCAAAAAATATGGTTGCGGCAAATCAACTTGGAAAACCAGCTCAAGAGAGAAATTCAAAACCAATGGATGAAGAAGTTGAATCTGCAGAAGTTAAGACAATTCAAGAAGTAAGCTCTTTGGCTTCTACACCATTTAGCATCTCTCACCTGATGACTCCTATCATTCCTTCCGGAGAGCCTACAGAAACCCTTCAAACTGTTCTCTCACCCTCTGTCTGTGACCTACTGGGCAGTACTAACTCTGAGGCCAAAGTAACTCCTGAACCTCAGGTCAAGCGGGAAACTTACAAATCACTTGCATCTAGTATCCTTTTTAAATTGAAAGACAACAGGAAGAGGGTGAAGAGTCAATACAGCCCAAAGAAATTCAAAACTCTTGAGCTTATTGAAGGTGGCTACCAAACTTTACCATCAGATAACACAAATCACCCTCTTTCTGAGGGCAGTGGCTCTGGCTTAAGTACACCTGCAATTTTAAAAGATGGGCTGACAGTTAGTCCTGTTTTGGAACATATTGTATCCCCATCACATGTCAGTATTACAACACATAACAGTGACAAGCCCGTATCAGAGGATTATTTGGTAGAAAATGTACTGCAAGGTAAATGTGAAGCTGATAATATCTATCATGGTGAGGAAAGCCGCATTTTACCACTAAATATCCCAAAAAATTGTCAAAGTCCACTTCCAAGAAAGCTAAACTATTCATCCCCCACTATGTACGAGAAAACAAATCATGTTAACAGTGATCTAAATAATCCTTCAGGTCCTCAGAGTAACAACGCTCTTGCTGATACTAATATATTGAATAATGGGAGAAAAAGAGAACTCTGTTCCAATGCACTGTCAACAAACACACGGTTGTCCTCAATTCCTTTAAAGGTTGATACAGATTATATGCCGGTAATTTCACCCCAAACACTTAAGATAGGGCAGCTATCATCTGGGGGGGACACAGAGATTAATGCCAAAACTCTATGGGTTTTGAAACATAATAAAGAAGTTGCAGTTCAGCTGGCTCCCAAAGAAGACAAAACAGGTGACCAAACCATTTGTAGAACAAATGCAATCAAAGATGCAAAGGAAGCCATCAGTATGGCTGGAAATATAGCTCAATCAGCAAACCTTTTAGATAGCAACAGCAACCATATACCAGATGCCAGTATATTGAGACAGAAAGAAATTGACCAGAGAGCTTTCAAACTAGCCTCTGAAAGTAGAGTGGATAGTTTGGTAACAGGAAACAACTATGCTTTATTGAAAAATGAACCATGTCATGTAATACCGGTTGGTAAATGCAATGTACACAAAGAACCTCCACCAGTGCCAAAGAGACATTTTTCTAAGTCAGATGCACTGCTTTGCTTGTCTGTAGGTAAGCAGCAAATGCATGCTGACAAGGTTTCTAAAGATGATTTGCTAATTGCAAAACTAGATTTACAAACTGAAGAATGTGAATCTGCCCAGGAACAGGGGAAACATAAACAGGTATTTTCATCTAGACTGAACGATTTTATCAAACATGAAAAACAATCACTGACAAGCAATGAGCGAGCAAACTACAAGGAAACCTATCTGAAAATGAAAGCAAAAATGGAGACAGATGAAGAAATGGAGTCAATAGCACGTTTAAGAAATAGTGAGTATATTTCTAATGATTTTCAGGCTTTAAAAGAGCTGGAAAGAGCACGACTTAATGATTGCAAGCTTGAGAACATGAGGAGCAGACTAGAGATTTTTAGAATAGAGAAAGACGCAAAGGCTAAAAACAATTTAATTTCTAGGAAGCTTCGAAATATAAAGAAAGGTATGCTATCTGTGAGAGGAAACGGGTCAACAAAGAAAAACATATTTGTTGTGAAGGAGCACGGCAAGCAGGATGTCTTTGTGAACCAAAACAGAAATTTAATTGCGATAAAGGCAATTCTAAATTATGACTGCGAGGAACTTGAGGAGGTTAGAGCAGAGCGAGAAAATAGATGTAAATTTACAGAGCAGGGTGAAATTACAAAAGCTGGAGACAACTTTATTGAAAAAAGTGGTGAAACTTGGTCACAGGAAGGTAGAAAAGACCATAAAAACTGTATGTTTAAACCAACTGAAAAAAAGAATGACAGTACTTTTCCACACAAGGAGAAAAACCTTAAACAAAGATTTGGTGACTTGAAAAAAAATAGAACACTACCTGGACCACCTGAGAAAGACAGATTAGGTAATAAGGAAGCAGTGCCGGACATTGACACAGAGGGTAATAAGCAAAATTTAATCTTAAACATTAAAGGTGAAGGCATGATAAAAAACTTAGATAATTATCATAGAGAGACAAGATTACCAGAAACAGCAGGATATGTGTGTAACAACAGGGAGAAATACTTGACAAATGAAAGGGATGAAGAATGGATTGATGCTCCTCTTGTTGCACCAAGAACCAAAAAAGTGGGCAGAAGGGAAAAAGGGAATCCAAATTTTGGAAGCAGTGAGGAGCAATTATCTAGAATCAGCACAGGTCCTGAAATTAATGTAAGTGGGGATGTTAACAAAGCTCTACTTTCCCAGCATGAAACATTTGATAAAGAATGGCAAGATGAGGTGAAATATACCAGTTTAAAACAAAGTTCAGAAACAGATATGTTTACGTTTGGGTTGGGGAACAAGTTAATGATAAACACAAGTCTGAAAATAGAAGCCACATCTGAAGGTCATGCTAAACCTCAGGAAATGTACGAGTCGGAAAGAAAAGCCTCTTTAAAACCAGACAGTATTACTGAGCAAAATGACAATATAAACAAGAAAAAAAAAACACAACATGAACATTTTAAATTAACTAATGAAGATATATATACAGATGCAGAAGAACTTGGTAAAATCCCTAGAAACATTGTGTCACCTTTTCTGCTGAAAAAAGATGTTAGAGTTGTAAAGAGCCAACATGATCAAGCTAGCATGTCACCAAAATCCTGCTACTTTACCATGGAAAGTACACTAAATACAACCGCAGAGAATGGTTTAGACTTCTACTTTTTGGGAAACTCACCAACAGAGGTTAAGCAGGTTAATGAACCAGGACAGACTGTATCGCCAAATAATTTGAGAGAAACAGGGGTGGAATGCTGTTTTTTAAGTGGTCAGGAATACATGCTAGATAGCCTTAAGCAGCCGTTAAAGTCTACCAAATCGCAACAAGAGCTACCCTTTATGGACAGCCCAGCAAGGTCAAATGGATTAGATTTTGACAAACAGTTACATCAGACAAATGAAAACCAACAGCCATCAATGTCAAATGGATTAGATTTTGACAAACAGTTACAACAGGAAAATGAAAACCGAGTGCCCTCAGTCTCAAATCACCTTTCTACCAACAATATCAGCATTACTACAGTCGACGTCTTTAAAGTGAAAGAGATATCAGCAGGGGAATCACCAACGTATTTGCTTGCATCCTCAAATATTCAAAATGAAGGCTGTTCATTCATCCCACAACAAGAAGAAAGGTTTTGTATGGTGAACCCTTCATCTGAAGGCAGAAAGGGCTTACAAGCTAGCACTGCTGAACCAACTGATGACTCACCTGAAAATTCTAAAGTTTTTATGGAAAGAAAAAAGACAAAGGATATTATTGAACCAGTATTTATTTCTAGAAGCAATAATGGCCAAAATGGGCTACCCAAACCTCCAAAAGTCTTACCAAAATCTGAAAAAGCAGTTCAAAAAGCGATTAAACTTACAAACAGAAGGATGAAAAAGGATGAGTCCCAGAGGTTGACGCAAAAATTATCTCAAAGCAGCGGAAAACACAGGGCAGAAGATATGAGGAATAATAAATCAGAGCAGAAAAACAGTGGCAGTGCCAAAACATGCAGTAATAATAAAAGAAAAAATTATGACAATAACCATACTGCAAAACACCATAGCAACGACAGCCATGTTCAGGATGAATGCCATTCAGCCAACCACAATCAAAATGAAGTAGAAACAAACCACAAGAGCTGGAGACAGAGACAGGATTCCAAGGAAGGCAATTACCAAAGAGCATCTGAACCAACCAATCTAACATCAGAAAGACAAATTCACACCACTGACAGTTATGCCAAAGAAAAGCCAGATTGTAAGGATTATAATACTGACAGCATCATTAGTAATGTGCCGGTGTACAAAGTTCATGTCAGTGAGAGGCCTATGTCAAAAAGGCCTTTCAATCGATCACAGAGTATTGATAGATACCTGGGAAGCCAAGAAGAGCATAGGTTTAGCACAAATCTGCCAATCAGTGAGAGACTTGAACCAAGGACTCTGCATATTGAAAACTCAATCAAGCATGATATTCAACAGAGAGGCAGAGCCAAAGAAAAGCCAAACAAAGGCCTACCCCTAAGAAGAAGCCAAAGTACTGATGCATACAACACTAATAGAACACCTCTATACAGACAGTCTAACCACACAGGTCAGTTTTCTTGTCAGTCTAGCATGGACCATGCTGTTCTTACACAGTCTCTCCCTATAACCCAACGAAAGCTCCTTCAGGATCCAGACTCAGGGCAATACTTCTTTGTTGACCTGCCAGTTCAAGTCAAGACAAAAACTTTCCTTGATCCTGCGACAGGAGGCTATATCCAGCTGCCAGTACAACAACCGGATGGTGGTGTTCCTCAAGCACCCAAATTAGAAGTTTTAACTTCTCCACTGGTTGTTTATCATAGTTTTGTACCGGTCCCTTTATCCCCCATGGCTCAGAAAGCCAACATACAAGCATCTCATGTGGAACCAAGAGGATTACAGCATAGACAACAGGAAATGGCAAGACACATTAAAGAGGGACGTCAAGATTTAATGTTAGCCGAATTTCTGGACACCGAAGAGCTAAACTGACCTGGCTGATGGGCCCTTTGTTTGACCCTTTGTTTTTTTGTTAAGTTTGTTGAATTCCAGGATTTATCCTTGAGATGTTCTGTCTTGGTCAGTGGTGTCAAAAGTTCACACATTTGTTACTTAAGTAGAAGTA